TCTTCTTGGCCTTGGATTTAGCTTCTTTAAATAACTGTCTCCATCCATTTCTAACATTGACTTCTCTGTAAATTGTACCAAGTCTGGTAGCATATAAAGTAAGCCTAATTAATTTCCATGGGATACTGTTAATTCCTTCTCTGTAATCTCTCTGGCCATATTCTTTCTCTCGCAGAGTCCTAGCTCAGAAAGAAATGGATTTATCTTTGTCCGGATACAGGGCGGTTCCATGAGATCAGGAACTCAGTGAGGAATTGCGTTTCAGCTAGTCTGTTTCTTTTAATTTGATACCATATTGAATCAATCATGTAATGTTGTCTATTTTATTTCAGATATGTGATGTGGTTGTGGTTTTCTCGACTTCTCAATGCTACCTTATCAATTCCTGAGATCCAATCAACAACAACAGCAAGGGAATAAGGTTCTTGCCCTTTAACAAATTGCTAAGAAGATTTGACTTGGTCTGATGTATTCTAGATTAATGAATTTTGCTACCTTGGTTTTTCTTCAATAAATTTATGCATGCAGTTCTCAGTTCAAGAGTTTTTGGTTATCTTTATATGAATCAATTTGTACTAGCACTAGCAAAGGATGTCAAAATTGTCAAAACTCTTCCAAAAAATCTTAAGGGTGCAAGAAGAAAGAAGGAAATTCCATCTTTTAAAGTTCCTCGTTCAGCATCGCCATATTATTATTTTGCACAATGTCCTCCCTGTGCTAAAGAAGCATTCAGTGGTAGAACTAGTTGTATCCGAAGGTGGATGCTTGCAGGTGAAGGCTATTTGTGTTTTAACTATTATATCCCTCACCTTTTATTTAATCTTGACTTCTCCCTTACCTGCATTAAATTTTGGAGGTAACCATTCAGAAATAGAAACATTGTTAGATGTTTTTGCTTTTCTTTTACCTTATGTGGTGTTTGTGCCTGAGTATCCTAATTTTCCAAGAGATATTGGAAATATATCTCTAAAACATTTGAGCTTGACACCATTAATTAACAACTCTGTATTAGGACATACGACACAAAATTTTAAAATTTTTATGTTTGTTGTATCCTAACATTTGTAAATAGGTTTCTAGACACATGCAATATTAAATTTTTCATATACCAAACGGTTTCTCTGATTTTATATTTTTCTTTATAAATTTCTGAATCTGGGCTTCCTGCAAAAAGCTTAAGACTTGTATTATTGTGTCTGATATTGATATGATAATTGTTTATTGCGCTCTCTATGTCACTTTTTCTCCTTATTGTCTTTAATTTTTCACATTTTCTCTTGTTGTGTGTTAGTTATGCACTCTCAAACGTCATTAAAACTTGTTCTTGTTTTTAGTCAATTCAGATGATGAGGGAAAAACATGAAGTAGCTTATTTGCCTTTTTTCAACAAGTTTGGTAGTTTTTTCTTTATGCCGATTCTTTGCATCTAGTCTGTGGTAATAAATCAAACAAATCATCATTAGACTACAAAAGTAATGGGTGAAATTTCAAATACTTGCTGTATTAGTTCTGAACCCATCTATTTGTGTATGTTGATTCTATCTTAATTAGCCTTTTATTTATGTTTCTACATTGCAGTAAAACTTTGGTTTTTAAATATATTACTCTCTAAGCTTTTCTTAGGCCATCTTCCTCCTCGTTTTGAAGAATATCAAAGGCTGAGATGTCGTGTTGCTTTTCATGCCCTTCAGTTTCGACAGGAAGTGCAAGAACTTGCCACCAGGATTTTACAGAGGCAAGACTGATGTTCACGTCCCCCTATCTCATAAATCTGTTCTCTTCATTGTTTTCTTGCAGTTCTTAATATTTTGGATAGCATTTGATATAATTATAGGCTACGTGCTCCTGGTCAGCCATTTATTGCTTATGACCCTGGTATGACAAGAGATGCTTTAGCATATCATGGTTGTGCTGAACTCTTCCAGGTATATTATTCAAACGTTAGAAAATTTTGCTGACTATCTTTGAGCCTTTCTCAGCATTTAATATCTTCTCTATGCCTTTAAATTCTTCCCAAGGATGTTCATACTGAACTCATCCAACACAAAAGATATCGGATGATAAAACGAGGAATTGTGAAGGGGAAGCTTAAAGTAAACTCAGCTGAAGCAAGATTGAATGGTTCTTGCCCTTTAATGCCAGAAGAGGTAAGAGCACATGCTGTTCTAATTTCCAGCAGGTAAAATTTGTCCATGTTGATGAAATGGCTGGATAGAACATCCTAACTTCGTCATTATCGTGTTTGAATTCTCAATCAAGTGTAGGGGTGTATATGATCTAATCTTTAGCTATCTAGTGTACAGTTCAACTAATAAGTGAGCCACATGAACTGAACTTGAAATTGAGCAAAGCTCTAACCAATCCAAACATATAGCTCAGCCCATTATGGGTGCATATCCAAAATAAGTCTGTATAAGCGGAGCCCTATCTGAATCTCAGTTAAAAGCAGCTCAATTATGTATTTTTTATGATGAATGCACAGTGATTTAGTCATATATTTGTTATCTAAACATCTTTTATCCTTAACTGAGTGTTTCTTGAATAAACAAGCCTGATGTAACCCCAGCATTTTTATTTCATGGATGAACAGAGCTAAGCCTAAGCAATTTACTGACTACTTAACCATGTGCAACTCTAACTAAGTCCATATGTAAAGTAAAGGACATGCGTTAAGGAAGCTATGTTGGAATTTAAATTTGTTGCAGATTGGGATTCTGCTTCGAGCATATGGATACCCACAAGACACTATTATATATGTTTCTGGAGGAGAAATCTTTGGCGGCCAAAGGACATTGATTACTCTTCATGCATTGTTTGAAAATGTTGTTGATAGGACTTCTCTCAGCACTCCAAGAGAAATGAGTCAACTCTACGGCCAAGAGATTAATCTTGTTAATACTCCTCCTGGTCCACCACCGTCAATTGAAAAAGAAACCAAGCAAGATGCTTGGAAGAATGCTGGTCCACGCCCTCGTCCACTTCCTCCCCCACCAGCAAGGCCCAAATCATATAACATTGAAGGTTGGTGGGGAGGGTTGCTGAGAGTGATGATTGAACCTGATAGTACTGTCATGGAGTTGCGAACCAATGCCCATAAATTACTATGGGAAGCTATTGACTATGTGGTTTGTGTTGAAGCTGATGCTTTTATTTCTGGATTTGATCGTGATGGTAAGGGACAGCCAAATTTTGCTAGCTCGGTTATGGGGCATAGGCTTTATCAATCAGCTGCATTGAAGACTTATAGACCTGACAGGTAAATACCTAAGCTATATGTGGGAAGCTTGTTTGTTTTCCACATTAAGCCTGAATACTTTGTCCTTGTTATATTTGTCTTTAAGAATCCTGGAGAAATCATACTTTATCCCCTTGAACTAAGGCCTTGTAACAGGCTTGGTACTTATATTTTAACATGTAAACGCCTACCTAAATTTTGGACCAAAATGACAACTTTAATCCTAGTTAAATTTTAGATCTAAAAACAAACTTTTGCAAATTCAAACATTCCTTTAAGCCAAGCTTTGTTATTGCAATCAAAATCATGTGGCTTCTTGCTGTTAATTTTAATTGGGATTTAACGTTTTCAATTTAGTCCCAAAATGTAGTTTTTCCTAGAATTATGACAATGTGAAGCAAAATAGTCGAGTCAGGTGATAATGTAATGCTTGCAAAATGATAACAAAGCTCTTATAACCTATGTTGAAACTTGGTGATAATTGACTATTTTTTTCATAATTTTCTATCATGCCCTTGTTGATGCAGAAAGGAAGGTTCCAGACTTATAGAAGAAATTCGTGACAACATGTATCAAGCAAATCATACTTGGCTAAAATCTGTGCGTAGGCATTTGAGAAAAATATTACTTGATGAAGTGATGGAAGCATTGAAAAAATCAAAACAGTTATCCTTTCTTTCTCATCCAGTCCCTGAATGTTCTTGCTTAAGATATAGTTCCTTGGATAGATCAACAACAAATACTTCCAATCCATCAACCTCATCGCAACTTTTGACTGCTCTTGGCGGTATTCCACATCGGTGTCCTTCCTGGATGGACACTGGTTCTGTTTCACAATTGAAAGAGAAGGAAAATGAAGACGATCTAGATGATGATGATTCCACATCATCTGGGTTGTTCTTTGGGCAAAACAGGGGAAACCATGAAGGTGATGGAGAAGTAAACAACAAAGATGAAAATCAGCTCGAAGATCAAGAAGAGCTTGATGGCGGAGACTGATGATATGAAGATAATGAATTCACATCTGCATTTAATCCATAAAAGTGGTTGTTGCATCAAATTATGGTTCCGTGGGTTCAATTCTGTGTGAAAAAAGAAGTTCAAATCAAATACTCCATATTTATACATTCATACTTTGGGAGAGAAAGTGACTCAAAAGAAAGTGGCGATATGTGAGATACACATGGCAAATGGCATGCTTTTTACCATCATCTCTTTTCTCTTTCTGAATGCAGCATATGCATTGACCTTTGTGAATATAGAGGATTTACATCCAGAGAGGATTCACATGAAGTGGTTCTGAAACTCAGCAATCCTGCTCAGGAACATGACTAAACTCAGCAATCTTGGGTAAAACATGCTGTAAGCATCCTGCAGTTATGTCAATTTGGTGTGGCCTAGTTTCATCTTAGTAGACATATACATTAGTTTAGCTTTTCATTCTTTTCTGGGAAAACTGTTCTGGTTATCCTGGCACATAAATTGTATTTAACTGATGTAGCTCTGAAAGTGTACTGAAATTTTGTACCTGATGATACAAACAGTTCAGCCACATTAACTTGCTGGGAGGAAGAATTTCATTTATGGCTGCCTTTTGCCAGAATCCTTGTATTGTGATATTTACTAAGATTGTAATTTGTAATCTGATGAAAGGACATAACATATAATATTTAAAAATTCTTTGTTGAGATAATTGAAAATTGTCAGTAAAATTTCTTTTGGGACCAATGTATGCTCTACTAAGGTAGTAAAATCCCTCCCCTCTTTTAAATCCCTTCAACCAAACATGAGTAGTGATTGATTTATTTTTCTTTTTGGTTGTTTTTCATTTTATTGAAGGTATTTTTGTTAAAGCTAACAAGAGAGGAAATTAAAATATGTGACGTATTCATTTTTTTCATAGCATCCAGATGGACATATATACACGTAATATCTATTCTATTTCTACTACTTATTATTTAATAGTATTTGTTTCTTTTTATTTTTTTATTTGAGGGCATAAAAGACATAGCATATCTACAAAATCATTTTTCAATTTTATTTTTTGATTAAGAGTTCAAACCTTTTTCTAATGTATAAAAAAAAGAAAAAAGAAAAAAGGAAATGGTTTTAGTGATCTTCATATTTTAAAATTTAGAAGGATTCAACATTCTTAAATTAAATTGGAGTTTGTGTTTCTTTTTGTTGGAATGATACAAGTGACCTTTAATAAATATTATTTATACATTAACAAATTGTTTTACCCCTTGTAGGCTTGTATTTACCATAATAATAATAACAATAATAATAATAATAATAATAATAATAATTGACTATTAATTTGATAGCAGGTTGGTTTTTTCTGCAAATTTGTTTACCAGTAAATTGCAAGTATTAAAAATCAATGGCTATTATACATTGGGAAGTGACTATTTTAGTTGTGCTATTGATTAAAACATAATAGAAAATGCATAGTATGAAAATCTGAATTAACTTGTTTGGTTGAATTAATAAATTATTAAACTAGTGTTTTGATTGATTTAATAAAATATTTTGTTTATAACTAGTTTGATTACGGTTTGATTATGATTTTGATTATTAACAATTGAATCAATGTCTTAATTGATTCAATAACCGCTTTGATTTTTAGTGCCTTAAGAAAATAACTATTTCTTTTTTAAAAATGACTAGTTTAATTATATTACACTTAATTGATAAATAAATTTGCAAAAAGGATATTTATTTTCTATTTTGTTTTAGTTAATAACCCAACCAAAATAGTCATTTTTCATTATATGATAGTTAGTATTTATTTCCTTCAAATTACAATATAAGTCATTATTAACTAATTTATATTTCTAACAAAAATTTTTTTAAAATCTTAATTTTCTAAAAAATTTCACATCTTTAGATTCATGCCCTTAAGTGTAATAAATATAAAAATTAACTTATTTAAAACCTTCTCATTAATCACTCAATAAAGTAAGTTTAATTGAAAGATATGTAAATTTATATATATAACACATATTCAATACTCTATATTTTAGATTAAATAAAGTTTCTAAAAAACGATTTATATTGTGGTCAAGAGGGAGATTGCCTTTTTGTTAAAAAAAAAAGCATACAAGTCCCTAGAGATTAAATTATAATTTTCACATTTAGTAGTAGTCAATTATCATTTACATATTTTAAGGGTATTTTTTTAATCATTTCCCCATATATTATGCCTGAAAAGTAATTAATGTTGGGAGAATAACAATTAGGTCCCAGAACAATAAATTAATGATAATTAAATCCTCAACAATTTTTTTTATAAAATAAGTTGAAAATATTGATTTAAATAATTACAAATATAATATTTTCAATTTCAAATAAGTATTTAAGTATTAAATATAACTCTTAAATCGTAATATGAATTTCTCTTTGTAATTATTTAAATTAATAGTTACAATCTATTTTTTAGAAAATTTTGTTAGGGACCTAATTGTTGTTGATTCAAGGGGCTTTTACAGATATAATCCGTGTTATAAAATCAAACTAAACAAAAAACCAATATTTATTACTCTCTTTGTTAAAAAATATAAGATATTTTTTAAGAAATTGAATGTTAAAAAATATAAGATATTTTTAGTCTTTTGAGGTGTAATCGTTATCTTTTTTTCAAAAGTGTCCCTATTGATAGTGACTTTATATTTATTATAGGGTGTTTAATAATGGTAAATATAAAAAGATAGAGTTAGTTTGAAAATAAGTAATTATTTTATTAAGGGTGAGATTCGGTTAAAATGCTTTATATTTTGTAACGGAAGAAGTATATTTTGTATTATAATTGATTTATTATTTTTGTCAATGATATACCATTATATATCAATGATAAACTCTTTATATATCAATATAAACATGACATACTTTTAAATTTTTAAAAATTTGGTCCATATTTTATGGGCTCAAGATTTGTTCGGCCAGTGAGCTAATTTATTCTTCGTTTCAATTTTTTGATATTTAATTGTCATTCTTCCATTAATATTATGTAATCCATCATCTAATGAGATGAGGCCTATTATTATGGTATATTATGTCCAAATTATGATAGAATTGAAATGTATAAAAAAAATTGTTAATTCTCAACTATGGCCAAATAAGCGAACAGAATGTTCGTTGCAATACACATAGAGAATACAATAAAAATATATTTCAATAAATCGGGGTAAAAAAAAGTGAGTATTCATCCAAGGATTGTGGATGTGACATTCTTAAAACAGTTTCAAGACATTCTAACTTTTTTTTTTTACAAAATGTTAAGCCTAAATTGAAATAAAATTATAAAACAAAATTACCAAAACATCCTTCTACAATATGTTGTTATGCAATATGACAAGTGACACAAGAATTAATAAGTAAAGCAATTAAGAAGTAATATATTTAATCAATAATAAAAGTCCATATGGAAATTTAAATCTTTAACTTGTTCAATCATTATAATTACTTGTAAAATCAACTATATCGTTTGTCAATTTTCTTGTGTTACTCGTTTTATCCAATATGTTACAGCTAATATGATAACTCTTTGATGCCCTGGTTAATGTCCCAATTCAACATGTCTCAGATGTTCCTTAGGATCAAATTATTTTCACAACTCAAATTTCTCATTAACCTTAGATAGGCCTGGTGGCTTACCTTAAAGAGCCACCCAACAGCAATGAGTCTGTTTGCTTGGAATTGTCAAGGTTTGGAGGTTGCCCTAACTGAAAGCCATCTCAAATTCCTCTTGAATAAATACAAGCCCTCCCTAGTCTTTCTATCTGAAACAACAATAAAGTTTGCTAAGATTAAATGTCTCCATCATAAATGTGGCTTTGATTGTGGTTTCTCGATTGACCCTGATGATAGATCAAGTGGCCTCTGCTTATGGTGGAACTTTGACTCTAACATTGAAATTCACTTCTCCAACCATAATCTTCTCCATCTCATTATCTATAGTGGCATTTTCTCTTCCAAGTGTTTGTATTCTCCATCTCACTTAAGGAATTTTGGTGGAGTCACATGTTATGCTTGAACCCTGGTGAACACTTACCTTTGCATTGGTGATTTCAATGAACTTCTGTACACTTATAAAAAAGAAGGAGGTTGTTAAATCCTATGAATACTTTTATCATTTTATGGACTCATGTGGCATGATGGATCTAAACTATAGTGGCCCTAAGTTTACTTGGGCCAATAACTGAGAAGGAGATGACTACATCCGCGAGCGTCTTAATCAAGCTGTCTTTAATATTAAATGGCATGAAAATCATCAAAATGCTTTGTTGAATGTCCTGGAAGTAGTTGATTTTAATCATTCCTCTCTCTTGCTCAAGTTAGATGATAGTACCCGTAAAACCCCTAAAAGGTTCCGCTTTGAACTTTTGTGGTTGGATCACCCTAAGGTTCTTGAAGTTATTCAGAATAGTTGGAACTCTTTTAATCTTGAGCTACTTGATGAAGTCTCCTGGTTCAATGCCACTCTTAACAAGACTTGTGAATCTCTTTTAAGATGGAGTAAGGATCACTTTTCCAATAATGCTATTCTGATTAGTAAAATTCTTTATGATCTCAAGGGCTGCTATGGTGATGATTAGACATTTGAAAAGGCCCTCCTTTAATGTACCTTGAAGCAAGAACTTGAAATTCTTTAGGATAGAGAAGAAAAATATTGGTTTTAAAGATCAAGAGTTAATTGGTGTAAATATGGAGATAAAAACTCTAGATTCTTCCATATGACCACGGTTTATTGAAGACAAAGGAATAAGGTTTAACACTTGAAATGCCTTAATGGTGACTGGATTGACTCCCAAGAGGATATCGACCTATAATTTTCCTCCTATTATAACTCTCTATTCCAATGTGTGGGAGATTGTAACATTTTTGAAGTACTAGATTATGTTGAGCCCCTTATTTTTGACATAGATAATGATGTTCTTGAACAACCCTTCACTGTTGAAGAAATTCAACTTGCTATCTTTTCTATGGGAAGTACTAAAGCTCCAAGCCTTGATGGTTACTCTGGAATGTTTTACCAAAAAGCGTGGAATGTTGTTGGTGAACAAATCTACTCTATGGTTAGAGAATTCTTCTTTGGTAATTTGGCTATTTAGGGCTTAAATGATACTAATCTAGTGATAATTCCTAAAATTGAACATCCTGAAACTATCACTCAATTTCATCTTATTAGCCTCTGTAACTTCTTATATAAAATCTTCTCTAAACTCATTACTAGTCGAATGAAACCTCTTATAGTTAAGATCATCTTAAAGAATCAACGACCCTTTGTCTAGGGTAGAGTCATTCAGGATAACATCTTCATCATCCATAAAGTCTTCCACTACCTCAAATTTAAGCATAATGGTTGTCCAAAAATTGCAATCAAACTAGATATGAATAAGGCTTTTGATCGAATCGAGTGGGATTTTCTAAAAGCTATGCTTATTAAATTAGGATTTTCACGGTAATGGGTTACAAGGGTGATAAGGTGTATTACCACTATAAGTTTTAACCTTCTCCTTTCTAGTAGAAAGGTTGCTGAAGTTAATCCTTAAAGGGGGCTCAGACAAGGCAACCTCCTATCGCCCTACCTCTTTATCATTGTTGCTGATGTTTTATCTCGAATGCCTATCCTGTTGGAAATTGTACCCTAGGACCAATCATTGTATTATGCACATTGTTATTTAATGAATTTATCTTTTATTATCATAACAA